TTATGCCACCCACATGACTGACGATATTATGATCTTAACTCATTTTACTCACATTTACAGCAGAAAGAGTTCTAGTTTCTCTTCTCTCCCCAAAATATATCACATTATGATCCCAAATACAGGGAAAGCATTATATAAGTGAAGAGCATTTCAATCTGCTTGCTGAGACAAGGAAACACAACAAAGCAACTTTCCATATGCCGTGCAGGCAAGAAAAAAGTGATATCTGCAGTAGGAAAGAAAGGAAAGCTAACTCTACAGTGAAAAATCTGGGGAAGTACACCATAAATATTTCTGCTCCATCCACATTCTGTACTTTTTATCACCACTTCTTAGATAATTCATCAACAAGTAAAACACACTTGCAGAAATATCACCAAGTCTTAAATAGGACTGAAAGTGTCACACCCACTGTTCTTCTCCTATGGCTGTGATCTTCTTCCTGTCACATTTTTCATTATTTTGCAGGTTACTCAGCCATTCTGTGTCCTTGTGTGCCCACAAGTCACAGGCCTTTGGCCAAATGAAAAATAGAAATAATGGGAGTAATGAGAGGGCTAAGAGATTCATTGACTGTTAACTCAGATCTCATAGTGCTGTCTTTTGTAAATTATTTACTCCACTTTATTTATATGAAAGTTCTCAATAGCTTACTCAAATGAGATAAGATTGCACTGTCATATCAGAAGAGATGTCATCAAGGTCAGACTGATTTTAAAAAATACCAGACACCCAAAACTTTCCATGTAGACCAACTCTTCACATTCTGCCAGATGCTAGATATTGAATAAATGAAACAGCTGTCTAGAACAGCACTTTGGAAAGAAACAAAACAAAAACAACAGCAGACCCACTTTAAATTTTATTATCCCACTGTGCGGTCTGGTGGCAACTGTAGCTGCTGCTTTATAACATATCCCATTTCTCCTCAGCCAGCTGAACTTACAGCTGGACTTTGTCATGTTCAAAATACAGCCAGCTTCTATAATGCTTCTCTTCAATGCAGGATGTGGTATGTCATGGAGATGTAGCCTGCGCATGAGTTATTTTGTTACGTAGTGGGAAGCAGCACAACAAGACAGGGGGAACAGGAAGAGAAAATTGAGGACACAATCCAATTGCTTCCCACTTGTCTGACACTACTTGGCTGAGCCACAATGGGCTGAAGGCACAGAGACAAGAACGGAAAATGGTGTTAAACTTTGTAACCTTTACTGCTTTTAAAACAAAGATCTCTTGGATATGCTCAATTCAAACATCTCAGATCAATGAATTTAATCTTTTGAAAACAAACTTGTAGTTTTGTGTCTTCTCAGATGTTCCAAGGTTTGAGGAATAAATGGAAAATGAAATAATTATTTGTTACAGAAGTGGACTGCAAAAAGTGGAAAGGAGTCACAAATTATGAAATTTGGCAGATGCCCTACAAGCCTCTCTTGGCAGCCTCTCTCTCTCTCACTAGGGGCAGACCTATCTGGAATGTGATTAAGCCATTCACAGTTCTGGCTCTTGTGGCTCCAAAGTTAGACATTATGAATGGCAAATATGTTACTTAACCTGTCGGATCTCAAGATCTCAGTCCTGAGATGCTGAGCCACCGAGACCCTGGGGGGGCTCGGGACTCCTGGAATGTTGCCAGAAGTGTCTGGTAGCTGGACTTTAGTCCTACACAGGAGACGACAAGGATGAGGGCTTCACCAGGGTGAATGGTGAAAAGATTAGCTAATTAGAGGGTGAGACACAGGGTTTAGGATTTATGTACAGGGGGGTTTAGAGGAGTAAGATGGAGGAATTGGGGTGTGTCCTGTCCTCCTTCTTCTTCCTCCTCTCCTCCGTCTTCTGTGGCCACGGTGGCACCTTTGGATTGGTTATTACTAAGAGTACACTGAGTTATAAGAATAGATGGTATTGGGGAAAAATGATAAATATTGTATACGTAACAAGGGGTATAAAGATACGTGGCTGCCCGGGAGGGCAGACAGTGTGCCCATGGCTGACTGCTGAGCAGATCTCTGTTCGGCTGAAAGAACATCTTTTAGATAAACAATTAATAAACATAAAACCAGAAAGAAGAACTGAAGCCTCTTCTCGTCCTTCGATACGCGGGCTGCCCCAAGGCCACCCCGGGCCTTCCAGGCCCCTCAAACAGCCGAGATAAACCGGACATTTGGCGTCCCTGGGTGGGCTCCACCACCACAACCTTTCGGGGGAGATAAACCGGACATTTGGCGGTCCCTGGCTGGGCTCCACCACCACAACCTTTCGGGGGAGATAAACCGGACATTTGGCTTCCACTGGGTGAGCTCGAACCACCACAAAACCTTTCGGGGGGGGGGCACCCTCAAAGCCCTGAAGATCAGAGAGAAGAAGAAAACAAAAAGCCAACAGAGACTGCAAAAAAACAGCAGTCACTGAGATTAACCTGTGATTTACTTTTGTTTGTTAAAAGATGCATTCAAATGTCCGTTCAAGTAGGAAGATAGACATTGAGCCTATGTATCTGCATTGAAGCCTAATTTGAGAAGAAAGGAACTGCACTGAGCAGGTGCAGAGATCTCTTCAACAGAGATCAACCTTTACATTCCAGGCAAGGACTTTCCATGCTGTACTTGTGCAGGACAGATGGACCCCCAGCAATAATCTTCAAAATTATTATGTACAAATTTTAAGACTAAAATTTGTGAAAATACATAAAAAAAACCAAACTCCTTTGTGTATGTAGCCTCTCACACTATTTGCCATATCATTGCTTATCCCTACTCGAAGATGATTGTGAATTTAAATGCTACTTTTCAAAAATAAGGAAACAAGTTTATTTCTTAACTTTTTGCTGCTAGATGGGACACAGCTGACAACCTCACTTCCAAAAATCCTGGAATAAACCCTCTAACACTGAGAGGTTTCTTTTTATTGACCTGCATGCAAGTTTTTAATGTTTTTATTTTTAATAATCCATTTCTGATGTTTAGCTACTGAGAACACTTGAACTCCAGTAATACAGCAGGATCACTAGAAGTGATTTGTGTATCCACAAATTTAATCTAGACAAGAACAGGCTCAGACTGCAGTTCTTTGCCCCAGGGTCACAACAACAAAAATCCCCTGCGCACATACAAGAAATGAGGCCCAAATAGTCTGTTTCTCAGACTAGGTGAGGCCATGGGAGCTGGTTCCCTTTAAAAGACTGTAGGTGCCTGGAATCTGATGACTGGTAAAATACTAATGCTAATGTTATCTTAGGTGTACTTCCAAGTGAGTTGTCTGCTAAACCCTTGGTTTCACCTTGTAAAATAAAATTGAGATTATGTTAATTTCACAGAGGTCCTAATCTTGATGGTTTGAGGAGGTTTTTCACAAAAACATTCTGATAGATTATTTGCGTACTTTTAAATTAACACTGCAAGGAAAAAAGAAAGCATGAAAGTGAAATGAAGGAAAACACTGAAAAACTGAAGGTTGTGGCCTGGTGCTTATAATTCATAGTCATGAAACAGCAACAACAACACAGCTATTGCTTTGATCTATGTCCCTGTTAATTCCTCTTCCCATAATAGAACTTCTGACATTTCACTGGTATTCAGATGTGATTAAAATATATTCTAATACCTATAAAAAGAAATGTTGGTTCAAGTACTAATGAAAAATAAATCTGGCATTTGGAAAACAGTATCAACAAAAAGTAAAAAGGTGCAAAAAATAGCAGCAATTGAAATGTTGCTCTTTTTTTGTTTATCTTTTTCTGAGAAAAAGGTAGATATCTGTTTTATCAATCTTTACCTAAAGGTTTGGATTTCTGAGTCTTTCCAAGCATCCACACAGCAACTTCAGCCGTAAGAGTAATAAGACAGATTTTGATCTCTCCTTCAATTCTAATAATTGCCACAAAGTTCCAAGAATAACAGGGTAAGTCAAGCTTTCTGCAACCTACTGCAAGATAGTTTTTAAATAAACAGGTCCCAAATGTTAAGTTCACCATATTCCTTCATTGCACAGTAGCTTAGTCGTATGCTACATCATAATTAACCCTTATTTATACCTACCTACATACATATATATATATATATATACATATATATATATATATACATATATATATATATATACATATATATATATATATACACACACACATAAACACACACACATCTCTAGACTCCTTTATGTTCATTTCTGACTTTCTTACCTCCTCCTGAATACTACATACTTGAAGAAAAGGCTGTTTACAAGGGTGCTTTCGGCCACCACTTCTGCATTAATTTTCAGAACTCTCCCAGCTCAAGAAAACCATAGGACTTAAAAGAGTCCTCTCTGCACATGGTAATAAAGATTTACTGGTTTGCCTCCCAAAGATATAAAGCACTTTGGAGCAGGGATGCCACCCTTTATGATATTACATATCATTTTTATGAGACTACAGTGTTTTCCTTAGGGGCTATTAAAGTCACCAGTACTTAGCAGAAGCAAGTGCGAAAAACATTAAATTAAGGCCCCAAACCGGAAAACACTGTAGTCTCTCTGGAAAGCTAACTTTCCTAAATCCTGAGTGAGACTTTGGAGCATGCAAAGAGGAACAATATGAGCTGACAATGGAGAAAAATAATTTTAGACTATAACAGACATGATTACATTTGGAGACAATATCTCAACAAAAACAAACTAGGCTCCACTACACAGATAAACATAGTAAAAAATTTAACACTTGAACAAATGTGCTGCCTAAGGTACATGTAAAATAGTTTGGACATCTGGGTTGTGCTGTATTTCACTACCACAGTATGCAAAACACACCTGAACCTACCTACACAAATACAGAGAAACACTGAGTTACTATGGCACATGAAGATGCAACAATACTGGAGTTAGGATCATTCAATTTCAGATTCAGACATGAAAAAAAAGAAAAAAACTCTGTAGTGAGCCTGGTTCCTAGTGGAACACTGCTTTTCCTAGTCAATAACACAGTGGCATACATTAGAGAGATTTATTTTTACATTACTTACCTCAGCATCTTGCTCCTGGAGCTGGTATGTTCTCTCTAAGCACTGCAGTATTCTAGGACACAATGTCTTCTCCTCCAAGAGGAACTCCAGAAGTAAGACCAGCTGGTCAGGGAGAAGCTAAAAGCAAAATAAATGCCATGTGTGAATGAAGATCTCTACTGGCTGAGCAATGTTAATGGAAACAAACTAAAGAGGACAAGATTGTGGTAACCTGTGTACTTCCAGCATGTGCTTTAAATACAACTTGGATCTCTAGCTGGTTTCTGAAAAACCTCAGGGTTTATGTGTCTGTGTTCTGGAAGACTGTGCTACGACTCATTTCTCATGGTTTCCATTGCTATGGTTAGGTCAGATCTAAAACATGCTTGTCTTATTGAAATAGAATCATGGCTTGATGAGTAAGATTTTTATGGAATGTATAAAATAAGTAATTTTATTTTGTTTGGGTTTGAAGAGAGAATAATTTACAGTGTATAATTTGAGAAATCAATGAGGCATATGAACGTATAATTTTTAGAGTGGTGTTTTTATCTGATATACAAGCATTTGAATGATTTGTTTACACTGAACAAAGAAACACCACACAAATAAGTGACCCACCAAACAACTGTTGTAAAAACACATTCTGAGGCATATTTTAGTGCAATGAATCACAAACCATCCATCCTTTCATGGGAAATATTCATGAATGTTGTATTTGTGGCACACACAGTACAGCATCTACACACAGATATATATTCAGTAGTTTCAGTTAGTTTCTTGACTCATGGGCCTATCATTTTGAACTGGAATCTAATTTAATCTAAAAAAAAAAAAGCATAAGATTCTGTTGTAGCCAGTGCTTAAGTGCTCTGTTTAATAGGCTTATTGGATGAACAAATAAATAATTCAAACAGAGCTCAGAGAGAAATTGCACCAGCTGCCAGGAAACATCTCTTGGAAATTCAGGCTCCAAGGTGATCAGTCAGAAGTTTGTTTTATGTCCCAAAACTTTCCCCACTATTCATCATTGCAGGGCACCAGGGGAGGAAGGGGAAAGGCAAAAGAATGTCAGTAAAGCTTTTGCATACAAAAAGAAACCAATCCTGCTCACTTCTAATGTTCTTGAGACAGACTAATAAAAAAGACATCCTGCTGCTTTGACAGTACTCCCAGCTTTCACCACATTTGGTGATTTTCTCTTACCACCTCGCTGTCTTGCCCATGTCTGCTTTGCTGAGACAACGCACTAAGCAAGGATGAAAAGAAGTCAGCTATAGGCAACGCCTCTTCCAACAACACATCCCACAGCCAGGGCTGTTTATGTGCACTGAACAAGACCAGACTTCTGATCTTAGATATCTGAGTCCATGAAGATACCCAGGATCTTCTGATAAGTCTTAATCTGTAAAATATCTACATTAATAACTAATTTAGCAACATGTCATTTTCTTCCCGTTTAGACTAGTATCTAAATCAGAATAAAGAGGAAAGGGCATCTCTATAATGGTAATGCTTTGGTTTCTTTGCATTTTGATTTCTTTCCATTTTTTATTGGTAAAGTTGTATTCCTGAAGATTGAAAATATCCCACATCTTACTAGCACTTAGTGAAATATTTTGTAAGTAATACCAAAGCCTACCAATCACATGGTATTTTTAAAAGTGGACAATATTTAATATTCAATATTTTAAATATTGAATATTTCATTTCAGGACAACTAGTAAAATGGCAGCTTAAATACTTATGAAGTCTAATAGCAGCTGCCGGGGGTTGGTGAGACAAGTTAAAAAAGAAAACAGGCAAAGTTTCTGGGAAGTGACTCTACTTGGAAAAGCAATTAATTCTGAACATTAATAAAATACAAAATGTTGCAGAACACCACACAAAGAAAGGTAACTTCTGATCTAGACAGTTTTCACTGTTAACTAAAAAGACAGAGGAACAATACTTAATTTGCAGAAGCTATAGAACAGTTGCTTGAATATGTAGGTACATAGAACAGCTGAGTATTTTATAATGTATCTGCAGTATAATTGCTACACAGATTCACCCACGAAAAGCTATTGTTTAAGGCAGCATTACAGAAGCCAACAAAAGAGCAACTGCAGAGTAGCAGCCATGCCCTGAATTTACATCTGTCTAGTACTGCATCATGGCTAAGTTTTTTCAGAATTACTGGCTAAACTCTGAGAGTCAGCAAAACAAAAAAACAAAACCCCAATAAAACAAACAAAAAAACAAAACCAAGAGTGCATGAAGTGTTTGGACAATGCTGTCAGGCATATGGCGTGATTACTGAAGTGTCCTGTACAAGGCCAGGTATTGGACTCGATGATCCTTGTGGGCCCCTTCAAACTGAGCATCTGCTATGATTCTATGAATAAGACCATGGCTTCTGCTGTTTTCCCACGTTGCAGGTGCCCAAGATGGCACCTTCCATACCAGTTTCTATCTCATGGATTAGTCAGAGTCCAAGGCAGGAGCCAGTGAACACCGGCAGAGAGGGCGGGCGCTGGCAGGGGAGCGCTGGCGGGCAGACCTCTCCCTGCAGAGGCACTACTGCGCACCGCTATCACAGTCTGTTCTCCGACTTGTTTCTGACAGAAAAGGAGGAACGTTCCCATCTACCCTTTTAACCTTTCCTTTCAATAAAAGAGACTCTGCTTTAAAACCCTAACTTAGGCCAAGAGACAGAAAATTGCAACCAGAGCTACAAAATTAATTCAGGGATGCAGACGTTTTCTTTTCCCCACACACAACAATATGAATATCATTCTCACCAAAGCAGTCTTTTAATGGTTATAAATAAGCTTCAAAAATTGCACTTGAATTTTCTCTCAGAAACCCCCCTCTCACTGTTTTTTGTTTTCCTACCACCATCCTTATTTGTCCTGCCCACCTGTTACTTTCCATCTTTCATACCAGGAGAATTGTTTGGGGTGCATGTTGTCAATTTTCAATTTGTTTGCCTCATGCTTAATACAAAGAGGTCCTTGCCTTAAGTGCTATCTAAACATAAATACTGTAGAGACCTAAATGCAAATTTCTTTTCAAGAACTGTATAACCACTTTCCTTTACAACAACTCATATTCTGTGAATGCATATTGAATATCTAACACCCACAGAAAAGTACACAACACAGATACAGCAAGTTACAGCAGGACAATCATCACACTCTCAAGTTGTGTCTTCAGGCTGAAAACATTCCGAAAACAGCCATAACACCGTAAATACAAAATTTCAGTGCTCCTCATAAAATAAAATAAAAATAACCCCCTCATACTCTGAACTAGAATAGAGAATACACAATCAAAATGTTCAAACATATGCAATTATGAAAGCAGATTGTTTCAATCAGGAAATGTGGCAAGGATCAAGAAATAGTTTTCATTACGTCAAACTGCTGCAACAGCATCTATTTATACTGTAAAGTAGATAGTTCCTGCCCAACCTATGCCTGCTGCATGGAAATCATATTACTTTTTTCAGGGCTGGCCCTCCCCCAGCTGTGACTATGGACACTATAAAGAGGATATAAATGAATATGTTGTGATCGAGCACACTAGAGGTTACCTGTCATGTCCCATGTAATTAAACATCATCCCCTCTGTAAAGCTGTATCCCAGCACTGTATATATTATCTTGCCCTTAAGACTGTAAGACTTCTCCTCCAACTCTTCAGCCTTCTGAAAGAGTTCACTTTGTCCTGCCACTAAACAACCATTTGTTCTCTGCTTCCCCTAAGTTATCTGATGTGGCAACTCCAGTAAAGAGGCTATTACCCTTAAAACAAACTGTAAATGATAGGGAATATTAAAACTGGCTCCGTATTTAAAAAATGCAAGATGAAAGAAATAAAGAAATCATAAACAAATTGAAAATATAACTGATATTCACTGTATACTAAATCTCTTGGAAGTAAGAAAAGCATGCCCTGTATTTTATTCATATCAGTACACAAAACACTTAAGCCATTATACTGTGTTACAAGAGTATCTTATTAGATTAGTAGGTTTGAAAGGTCTTCTACAAATAATCTTTGAACAAAACTATGAATTTTCAAAGTACAACCCCTAATCTGTAAAAAGCACAAAGAAAACAAATCTTTCCCCTTCAGAGATATGGTATAGCAGCTACAGAGGTCATCGATCTCACATCCCCGAAGACCACCCACACAAAAGAGAGTATTTATCAATTCCTAAATTAACAAACACAATAAATGCACGATTCACCCTTTATACTAGGAAAAAAATTGCCACTGAAACATTTGACTACTGACCTTTCAGCCATGAAATGTGACACATATGTATCTACTTGAGTTGATCCACAGCACCAGCACTTGCACTGCACCCCTCCACCAGGACACAAATCACTAAAGTTGTACAGCTGGTATGTTGAATATCCCATTTGCTCCTGCCTGCACTTGAATGAAGTCATTGAAAGCCTCCTTGGAGGGAAAATCTGCCTCAGACTAATGCAGCAACCGATTGACAGTGGCGTGATTTCTATTATTACTCCATTATCACACTGGGATCTGCGCCTAAATGAGCATACTTCCTCCCTGATGCCATTTCCTTTTATCCTGGCTCTAGTCTAAAAGCGGATCAATGGGAGTAATATATATGATGTCACTTCAATTTACAGCTACTGCCTCCCTCTCTCGCATGCACAAATAGATCAATTCTTCCCAAAAATGGTTAAAAAATGCACAGGGAGAATCTTCTCTGAGAAGAGGGTTCTCTGCTATATTTGTCTGTGTAACCACAGCAAGGAACTGTTTACACTGAGCAAAAAACAGGGGGGAAAAGGAAAAAAAAATCACTACTGTGCACTGGAAAACGCTGGCTGAAATACAAGAAAAACAAGGCCTTATAGAGAACTAAAGCAATTTGGTCTTTGAAAATTACACAGAAATGTTTAAAGTTTTTAAGGCACACATAAGTATATTTCTCCTGTACTTGGTGGAAGATAATCTTGTGTCCTATCCCCAAAAACACAGAAGGTATTTTCATTTATATATTTACAATGTTTTCCCAAGTCAAACCAAATTCCTTCCCACTCCCCTCTTAGGAAAGAAAGGGAAAACCCCCACTCCACAGTTCAGTTGTGAATAGTTCCCTTCAGAAAAAAATTG